AAGACTTAATAATAAAAAAGTCAAATCTACTGAACCCATACAGAGATTAATTATTGAAAATAACAGATGAAATATAAAGTTTTTTTAAAGAAATGTTTGGTAACTATTTGAATATTATAAATATTTTGCATGTGAAACTTAAAAATATTCTGATGCACAAAAGTATTTTTAATCTTAAAATGAATATTACTTTGCATGACAGATAGGTAACGTGCAAAAAGAAAAAAAGGACACTAGAAAAATATTGCTTTACAAACCTTAAGACTTAATAATAAAAAAGTTGATATTCTGTGAATCAAAGCATTGTAATCTTTACTGATAATCTGCCAAATTTCATTAGCATTCACTTATTAATTTAAAAGTTATATCATGAAAACTACAGTAAGCACAAAATGGTCACAAGGTCAGTCTGAGGGACCAAGCCCATGCTGAAAGAGTTAATCAGGAAATACGTTCCTAAAAATATCAAAATATTGATTTGCTACATATTTAGTTCACTTGTGTAGATCACAAATATTTGTGTAAATCCTGAAAATTGCTAAAATCATCTAGTTTTATATTATAGTTATTATGGCTTGGAGAGTGTCAACAGCAGTGTTTTGAATAAATACCTGTCAGGCCTCGTGGATTCTGCTGTGAAGACATTAGAAAAGTCACACTGCTTACAAGTTGGAGAGGTAAGCTAGAGTTATTTACTGCTTAAATAAACTTAAAGTCAAATATGAGTATATATTGATTTTTGTATCAATAAAGTAAATGGGAAATTGTATTGTTTTATTGGGGCTATTTTTGTATCTGATTTATAAGTTATAAAGTTCAGCACTGTTCCTTTGTATTTCACTCTCATTTTTATATTTTTGGCCTCTGAAGATCCTAAAAAAATATAATACAAAATAGAACTTTTCAATTTTTTTGAGTTGTAATTAAGAGGTACAATAAATAGAAACATAATTCAAAATGTAAGTGTAAAGCCTGTAGTAAATAAGAATTATCACTGTTAATTTTACATTTATAAGATTGACATATATGCTTCAGAGTTTATTGCTTTGCTTCTTAGATAAAACTAATCTCAAGCCACATTCTTAGTCATGTTCATGATCCCCTGAAATTAAGGATATTATTAATTTCTTGTATTCGTGGTTTCTAAACTTGGTTTTTAAATGCAAAGTTGGTTGTTGTATATTTAGGTTCTTAATGTCTATTCTGTTTCACCAACAGAATGAGTAACAGAACTTTCCAATACAGTACTTCCCTCCTCTCACAAGATTAACCTTTCCTCTTTTGTGCTGCTCTCTATATGCAAACTTTTTTTATATCGCATGCCACGAGCCTTCCTCACCCCGTATTGGAATTAAAGATTCCAACATATCTCTCATCATCATACGTTATCTCTCCACCAATAAAAGAGCACTACTATCATGTGATGCATGTGACTCCATCTATGTGCCACTACCAAACCATCACTTCTTGTTTGACACTGTTGAGTTCAGACATCTTTCTTCTTAAACATTACTTCTCAAAGTAGTTTAATTTAATTTACTTTATTTCAAGAATTTTTTCTCACTTTATTTTCGAAAGCGTTTGATTTACCGTGTTTTGCCACAAATTTTTTTTATTGTTTATTTGGTATCAAGCATGAATTCTGAAACTAACGTTACCACTTCGTATACATCTCATCCGTCTGATGCCATACTTCAGGCCACAGGTGTGGGTGATCCATTGGGGGATTTATCAGCCTTTAAACGCAGGGAAATTTAGCATTATATGGGACAACATTTGTCTCCAGCTGTTGCCTTTCTTCCTCCTGAGCCTTTCAAGCATGACCAGGCTTATGAGGATTTTCATTGTTTGTTTCCTCTTCTGGAGTTCGCCATGCCTTCCCAAACCCTACCTGAGAATTCTGTTCCGCTTTCTCTGATTTCATTTCTCAGGTATGTGATGTTTTGTCTATTGCTTCTATTTCTTATCACCCTCATCCTTCCCTATTATGTGATTCTGCTTTCCAACCTTATTTAATTTTCCCCCCATCCCCTGATATTGGGGTTAACCCTGAGCATTTCCCCTGCCAGTTAAGTGACGGCATTAGTATGCCTCGTCTCTCAGGGTCTTTGGATCAGTCTGCCATTGCTTATCATAAGGCTGACTGTCCATATCTGGACCAACAATTGTTGGGTTCAGTTTTGTATTTTTAGGGGGTTGGACCAGAATCTTTTATTCATCTTACCCATACATAGTATTCCTGCCTTCATCTTATCTTTACAACTCATTTGCAGTACCTCTCCTCTTCCTCCTCACTTCCATATTGGCCCACCTGTCATCTTTAGCTCTGGCCTTGCAAACATGGTTTATTTGTTGTTGAGAACTTTTGGGTCATGATGTCCTATTCTCACGGGCCCAACCTTCTCCTCTCTGGCTCTGTTTTATGGAACTGACCATTTGGAACACACTTTTTGCTCACGAGGTTCTGTCAGTTTTGGGGATGTAGTCTTCTATGACTCCTCTCGGCCGGGCTCTTACGTGATCCCTTCAGTGGGTCCTCCATGACCAATGGAACCTTGCTTGGGACCACTTTGATACTCCCATAACCCTTCCTTTGTACATCGTGGATGATCTTCGATGGTGGTTGGACAAAGCTCACACATCGGCAGGCATCTCTCTTCCTCCTCAGAGGCCAGATTTACATCTGACCATGGATGCACCCTTTCAGGGCTGGGGTGCATGAGTTGATCACCAGGAGGCTTTAGGTTCTTGGTCTGTTGGCGAATGTTCTCTTCATATCAATATCCTTGAACTCCTTGCTGTTTGTTGGACTTTGGATCACTTTCTTCCCATCTCATGATCCATTCAGACATTTCAACAATGGTGGCTCATATCAATCACCAAGGTGACACCCGGTTGAGATCGCTGTTTTCATACATTGGATCTTTTCTTTTGGGCCTACAATCATCACATTCATTTGATGGTGTGGCACGTACCAGATGCTTTTAACCTTGTGGTGGATTGTCTTTCTCGAACCAACCAGGTTTACCTGACAAAGCGGTCCCTTCATCCTCTTGTTTTTCTGTGGCTTTGTGATCGGTGGGGGATTCCTCATATTGATGCATTTGCTGCTGCCCTCAATCACCAGTTACCTTTGTTTTGGCCCTCGGTTCCCCATCTTCAGGCTTTGGCTATAGATGCCTTCAGCCAGGATTGGTCGAACAAGTTCCTTTATGTTTACTTTCCTATCAGATTACTTCATCGGGCAGTCTCCCTCATCCATACCACTCCATGCAAAGTCCTTCTAATCACTCCTTACTGGCTTGCTCAACTGTGGTTTCCTTGATTACTCCAGCTACAGTTGCTCCCTCCCATCCCTCTTACATTTGCCAGTTCTGCATCCCACACTTCATGTCCTCCCTCTTCACAACTGGGTTTTGTCTGGTCTCTTGCGAGGAGATCCAGTTTCTCATGACAGGTGGTATCTCATTTACCTCATTCCATTCGTCCTTCATCTATGGCTGTGTATAAGTGGAAATGGAATGTTTTTCACACCTGAGCCCTGGCTTGGGGTATCGCAGCTTCTCGTCCTACAGTTGCTGGTATTTCTGAGTTCTTACGTGGCTTTTTGAGAAGGAGTTTTCGATCTCCTCGATGCTAGGCAGCCCTATTCCATACTTTCTATTTTTCCTGTTACCACAGAGTCTTTTCCTTTTCCCTGTCTTTGCCATTTTGATTCATTCTTTTTTGGATCCATCAACTGCTTAGGCATCTGGTACTTCCGGGTTTGGATATTAATGTGGTACTCAATTCCCTTACTTTACCTCTATTTGAGCCTATTGTCTCGTGCTCTTTGTTTCACTTATTTCTTAAGGCATATTTCCTTCTCCTCTTAACCTGCGGGTGATGTCGGTCGAATCTGTTCGATATCAATGCCACTTGCACATTGTACCACCAAACCTATCTTCTCTTTTATCAGGATCGTTCCTTCCTTCCCAAGATCTCAGCAGGTCATAAAGGTAACTCCTTCTTTTTGCCCAATTCTTTTACCCCCTATTTCTCATCTCCACTTTTGTTGTGATCCAGATAGCCAGGTGCGTGCTCTTTGTTGTTATATAGCCTGTACCACTTTCTTCAGGGGTTCCCGTTCCTGTCTCTTTATCCCATGCCAACCTCCTTCCTTTCAGGATCTTTCTCCTTTTGTCCTTACCAGTTGGGTTCATCATGTAATCCAGTTGGCATATTCCTCCTTGTCCTATTCCCAGCATGCTTTGTTTCATGTTACCTTCCATCAAATCTGACACCTCACCTTTTCTCTTGCTTCTCATCTTCGTCGGCCTTTGGAGGAGATTCTGCAGTCAGCATGTGGACCAACCTCCCAGATGTTCATCTCCCACTACTTACATCATGTCACTGTTTCTGCTTCCTTGGGGTATTGCCTACCACCTGTGGCTATTACACTAGGTAATTCTTTATTAATGCTTTATTTTCTTTCAGGGGCCATTGCCTCAAATTTCATTTCTTGGATTCCACTCTGTGACAAGTGGTGCCTGACCAAGTATTCTTTACACACACAAACAAATCCACATTGTAGGCCATGTTGTTTCAATCAATATTTTCATGGCTGTGCATGCTTACCTTTGAGATGGGGTGTTTCACAAGATTGCTGGATGATCAATAACCTCATGATATTTGTGTCATAAATAGTGCTATCCCTGACCAGACCACTCATGGATGGCATGAATAAAGCAGAAGGGGATAGCTGCCCATCTTTGCCATGCTTTGATTGAATAAATCAGTGTGGTCTACTTTTCCAAATTGGGTGTTGTGATCACCTGTTACACTGTCTCGGGTGTAGCCGTTCCTCTGGACTCTCCAACGCGCACACACCCATTTCGTCCCATGAAGTATGGGAGTCCTTACCACTTGCCAGTTCCAAACTGCTTGGGTGGTTTCCATGGAGGCAACCTACTGGATGAGTTCCACATAAATGGCTCAAACCATTCAGTTCAGAGTAAGGTGGTGGTGTTTTGCCAGTGTAGAAGGTGTAAAATCCTCCAGATTGAGTGACATATCATGGAGTGAGATGTCTAAATGCAGTTCATCCCCTAGATTGGGTGTCCTCATCCTATCCTTGCACAGATCTTGTTACCCTGTGGTCTGATTTTGGATATTTAGTAAACCAATCAACTTAAGTCCTCACACAGGTTTGGAATTGTTCATCTTCCTCCCTTGATTCTTCCTTCTGTGAAGTAGGTCATGGAGGGTATACATGGGATGTTTCTGTCCTGGGCACTCTTTCATTCTTTTGCAACAGGGATGTTATTGACCTTTGGATGTTTCGGACCAGTCTCATGGTTGTGGGAGTTGGTTGCATGCAATGGACTTCCTTCAAATACCTGATGACACATTCCTGGATCCCTAGCTAATTCTGTGTTGTGCCCTGAAGTCTGTGTTTTCCTCACATCCATGATTTTGAAGTGAAGTTGGTATGATTTTCATCCTTCCCTCGCACAGATGTCGGTATCCAGTGAGGAGGTTTTGGATGTTGTTGACTTACCGAGTACAGTCCACTGCACCCTAGCCATTCTACACCATGGGACGCATCCTTCATTACACGCTTTACTTGTATGAGATTGAGTTTCTATATTTATCTGGTTGGGATGACTTTCCTAACTTATTCTTTCCCGCTCAGATATTCTTCCTTCCTTTTCCACCATGTTTGTTCCTTGCTGTTCATGGTGAGGAGATACCTGGTTTAGAAGTGGTGTGGTGCTCCTCCTCATATCATCTGATATGTTTCTTTCATCTACAGAAGTATCCTTCAGACAAATTTGGAGGATAAGTCTGTTCTTCTCTCGCTCCTGTCTCCCCTCCTTTTCAATGTAGGATTCTAGCTAATCGTGTGAATGGAGGAAATACCATATTGGAAGTTATAATTTTCTTATACTGAAAATGTATTACTGATGGGTACTTCTCTACACTCACACTTTCCATCCTCCTCCCAACAATCTTCTGGTGCTTACATCATCTACCAAACTTTGAAGTGATGGTTTGGTAGTGCCGCATAGAGGGAGTCACATGCGTCACGTGATAGTAGTGCTTTTCTACTGGTGGAGGGATGACGCATGGTGATTTGAATGATAGACATGTTGGAATCTTTGCCTCCAATAAGGGAGTGCGGAAGGCTTGTGGCATGCATTATAAAAATGTTTCACATATAAAAGGCAGCATAAAACAGGAAAAGCTAATCTTGTGAATGGAGGGAAGTACCTATTGGAAATACATTTTCAGTATTGGAAAATTATAACTTCAGGATGTTTAAATGAATTTAAGAAATATATATGTATTAACAGTTAATATTATTACTTCATGTATTGAATCGTTTTTGTAAACATATCAGACTGCTGTAAACTTTTTTCATGATTTTAAAACCATATTGTAAGATTTGAAAAATTTAAATCATAGGAATTGGTAGTATTAACTTTCTTGGTTAAGAATGTTAAGTGGGATAGTCTCATTGGTTGCTGTTATTTATATCTGATATGATTGACATCAATATTTTTAATCCTCAGATTGATGGATATTATTGTGTTCCATCTGTAGAGCAAAAGAATTACTAATCTTCTATAGTTCTAAGAAAGATTATCTCTTCTGCCAAACTTTATATCTTCATTTCTGTAGGACAACAGAGCCTTAACTTCTACAGTATTTGGAAGGATTGCTTCTTTCTACTACTTGAGTCATCTAACTGTTCAGAGTTTTTGTGATCAACTAGGGCCAGACAGGTCTTTGGAAGACTTGCTAAAAGTCTTGACCAGTGTACAGGAATATGCAGAACTTCCAGTACGACATAATGAAGATGCTATTAACAGGTAAGTTTCTTAATTATTATGAATTAAGTATTTATAAATGTACAGAAATATGCATGTTTGTCTTAATAAAATGCAATTATCAGGTAAATCTTTTGATATCAGTTAACTAATTGACTAGTACATTTAACTTAAAATTTATTTTTTATAATAAAAGTTTTGAAATTTATTAGTTCTAATTGGCATTAAGTAATCTTAGAAGAATTTGAATTTTACTTCCTTTAATATTTGTTTCTGTTTTTTTGTAGTTTAATTGCAATAATACATTAAAAAAACAGAATAAAGTTCATGAACCATCTCAATTTTCTTGAAACTGGAATGTGAATTAAAACAGAAATGTTGGTTGTCACATAATAAAACTAGATTAATTACATTTATTATGTTGATGTCATTTCTTTACTGCTATGAACTAAGTAATGTAAACATAGGTTTAAGCAAGTAAAAGCTTCTTATTGCAATGAATAAATATTAAAGAATTTTTTTCCCAAATCTATCACTTTGATTCCCAGAAATGTTGCATGACCTTTGTATTAGGACTCGAAGATTTGTGTGAAGGTGATTGATGATTTGACAAGATTTGAAATAGTTTTCAGAACTGTTATGTTTTGTTCAAAAGATTTGAAGTTTTTGTTAGTTCTCCTATACTCAAAGTAAAGGATTTTATAACTGATCTCATCTCTTTTATTACATTATAATATTCATATGTTTTATAAACTTCAGTTCTGAACATATAAAGCTGTTGTTAGCACTTTTGATTTGTAATTGAAAGAACTGAAGCTGTTTTCAAAATTCATATATTTTGACTGAAAAATAATTAGAACTCTGCATGTTCTGATTAGCAGATTTTCAGTCATTAGTAGGTTTTATTGAACTGATGGTAGTTGCGTTCTGTAAGAGTAAATTTTTAGTTCACTGTTTAATTTATGGTGTTAAAGACAAGACTCTTGATAAATAGAGTTCAGTACATTTTTTACATTACCATAATTACTAGATATTTTTTGTATTTGGGTGAATACTTAACACTGTAAGAAACCACTCAAAACTTGTTTCACGATATTTAAAAATATAGTGAGTTAGCCAAAAGGTGCCCCCTGGAGGTGAGTCCGTACAGTTATGACAGTCCTTACACAAAGGCCTACCTGTTGTTCCAGGCACACTTTTCTCGGTTGGAGTTGCCATGTTCTGATTACCTTACTGATTTAAAGTCTGTGTTGGACCAATCAATCAGGATTCTACAGGTAGGGTGATTTTTACAGTTTTATACACTTTAATTATCATTTCTTTTAAGAAGAATTCTGTTGTTTGAAACTTATAGTTTATTTTATTTTATTTAGAGAGTTTTGTAATATTTATTAATCATAAATTTTACTTTCCTTGCTACTGAAGTATAAATTAGAAGTTTTCAATAATTAATTATTAGTTTTTGTGTTTGTTTGACTTCTGTAGCCACTGTTATAACTGTTTTACCTCTCAAGCAAATAATGGAAAAGGTTAAATCTCTCACATTCATCTTTATACATAAACAATTTTCCCAATGCCAGTTTATTTTTATATAAATAATGAAAAAACAAAATGACCCATGTTAATATTTCTTCTCTAAAACTTTAACTGGCAAACTATGGAAAGTTTGATGGGGAATTTTCAAGGTGATAAAAAATTTTAAATTCACACAACAGTACAATAATCACCATGAAGTGAAGTAGTTAAGCCACTAATATATCTAACTACTTGCTCATTAGCCATTTGTATATGGGTGGTCAAAGTGTGCATGTTACACATTTTTACAGAGTTACATTCAAAATTTAAACTATTTTGTTATCCAAGATATACTTCAAAATATAGTTTAATTCAAATTTTATATTATCAAACGTTTAATTTCCTAATTTCAAAATCAAATATTTAAATAAATTCTCAGTTACGGCTTGTCTATGTCATGTGACACAACTGCACCCCAAATTGCCTACTTTGATTTTCTTTCTACCATTATATGGTTTTTTTAGTGTCCAGCAAAATTACAAACACATACTATAGATAGTGACAAATCAGAATATAAAAGTAGAATCACCACTCTTCTTGCTTAACCAAGATACAAATGAAAGTGTCAAACCCACATGACATCCCTCCCATATCATTCTATTTTTTTTTTAAAAAATGTCAGTAATTCTTGCTAACATTGCTGTTTGATCATTTATAACCAATAGAAAGAGCAGCTTTATTTTTACAAGATGTCTTCCATGGATGATTTCGTTTCACCACTTGTAATTAAATATTTAACCTCAATTTCATTGTTTGCTATTGTGGTGTTCAGCTCAAGAAGCTATCCCACCATTGTTCTCTCCCATAGGAATGCGCTCCTTCCTTTTTTCCACCCATATCTGGGGCACCTCATTCCAAACTGGCTGTATTGGGTGTTCTTTGGATACTTTCGAGGAATGCTGCTTTGTTTTTCCCTAGCACCTGCCCCTCCACCTGTTCAATGTGGGATTCTAGCTATTTATGTGACCGGAGGTAATGTTCCATATTGGAAGTAATAATTTTCCTATACTGAAAATCTATTTCCAATAGGTACTTACCTTCTCTCACCCTTCCTCCCTATTGAAAAAAAGGTGCTTCCATTTTCTGCCAAAACTTGAAGTGATAGTTTGGTGGAATCAAATATGTCAAGAGTGTGTCGCACACTTAATGGTGGACAGTTGTCGCATGATAATTTACATGCAAGACATATTTCAATCAGTTGATTGTAAGGTACGTGGTAGCTCAAGACTTGTGGCATGCAAAAAAATCTTTGCATATAGAGGGCAGCACTGATTGAGAATAGCTATTTATGTGAGAGGATGTAAGTACCTATTGGAAATATATTTTCAGTATAGAAAAGTTATAACTTCAGGAAATTCTAATTTTTTCATCTTCTAAGATGTATATTTGAAATAAACATGAATAATTTTGTGGATAACCAACATTGCCATAAAAAAAAAAAGTAGGTTTAGAGTGCTTCAGTTGTCAGTATCAAAAAGCCTGAGTACTAAATTTGATTATTTATGTATATTTATTTGCTTATTGTTATATACTTTTTTACAAAAGTAACTAACATGTAAAAATTAGAAACTCGTTAAGTTTGATAAGAAAAAAAATATAATTTCTCATGTTACTTGATATCCTAACATGCCACACTGTGTGGCATAATTATAACTTGTGTGTTTAGACAAAGCTGTCTCACTGATAAATCATAATCACACTGCTATAAATGGATTATGCAAACTCTGAGATGGTTTTAATACATCTGTAAAGCAATGAAAGCAAATGTAAAAAACTGCTAACTTATGCTGTTGAAATATACACCTGGAAAAAAGTTAAGCACCCCCGTGTTTTTTTTTCAAGTGATTCAGATTCGACGTTCTTGTGACTGATTATAAATTACCATTCAATCTAAACGTGTTTAGCAAATGAAATTATGCATTATTGGGCACAAGAAAACAAGATTATCACCGTAAAATAAC